GTCCATTGTTTGATTCCTTACGGGGTGATCAGGTGTTGAAGTTCTTAAGGCCTCAAAATCTTAGTCTTATTCGTGAGTTCTATTGTAACATGCACTCTATTCGCAAAGAAATTCCTTCATCATTTAGCACTTGGGTTAGGAAGCAATCTTTAGACATCACAGGCGATGTTTTTCGATTGTTTCTTAGTCTTCTAGAAGTCCCAAATTTTCATTTTTCTCTTCTTACTCGTACTGGTGTTGATTTTGACCGAGTTGCCACTGAACTTTATGGTTTTTCCTGGACTTGGATTGCCGGGGCGCTCATTCAACAAAATGAGCTTCTACCTTGTTTTCATTTTCCCAACCTCATTGTTTGTGCTAATATTCATGTGACCACTCATTCCTTCCACATTACCCAAGATCAAGGGTATGTGTTATATTGCATTGATCATCCTCTACCCATTGACTTACCCGCAATGATTGTCACAAAAATGATCTCTATTTTTGAAGGACTTAAGTCCTTAGGCCTTCTTTATGGGTGTTTTCTCACTCGCTTTCTTACTTCTCTTGGAGTTCCTACCTATGATGATGATGAGTTTGCTTCTCCTATTAAACCCATTACTAAGTTGACGGTCTCACAGAGTCAAGCTCATGTCCGGGGTGTGTGTCGGGAGTCGGGGTATCTGGAGTGTCTGATACAGGTGATGATCCCCTTGCTGAGGAGGCGGAGTTTGATGCAGCCTCTGCTGATGCACCTGAGATGCCTGAGATGCGTCTGCGTTTATTTCGTGGCCAGCTGTAACAGTTTGAGCAGTCAGTCACGCACTGGCTTGATCAGTTGGATGCTCGGATGGATACATTTGATGGTCGTCTCGATCAGCAGATCACGATGCTCGCCCAGATTCTTTCATTACTCCAGATGCAACAGCCCCCACCATCAGACTCCTAGTTCTTGACAGTATTTGGCCTATGTGGTTTTTGGACAGTTTTTTTTTTGGTTTATATCTACCTGTGTCTTTTGTCACTCCTGGACAAAAAGGGGGAGTATTGGTTACTTTTGGTTACTTTTTGGGGGGTATATATTTTGATGGGGAATATATGGGATATATGTTGTTTTTGCATACTTATGGTGGCTTTTGCAGGCAGCATTGGACTAGTTTTGTATGGGATATTTTCTTTTTGGAGTATTAGTTTATTATGTCTTGATGGGTTCTGATATTGAATATCAATTCTCTACATTTTCAGTTTTGCAGCTTTCCATCAAGATTGGTTTGGTAGTTGTTTTTCTTTGAGTTGGTGTGTTTAGTTAGTACATTTGTTCTCTAGGAAATTGTGTTAGAATGTTAGGAAATTATGTTAGAAAGTTTTGTTCGGGAATTGACAAAGGGGGAGATTGTTAGGTCCCTTAGTCTTGTCAATCCCATGAACAAACTCTAGTTATTGAGTGGTAAATTTCCTTTTTGTTTTGAGTTGCTCGCTCGAGCGAAGAGTGCGTCTGTAAAAAACTTTAGAAGGATGAATGTATGCTTGAGCGCAGGTAGCGTGGCTCGAGCTAAGCCACTTATGGAAAACACACATGATAAGTTTCTCGCTCTTGCGAGAGAGTCTTCGCTCGAGCGAGCTTCGCTGTTCCAGATTTCTATAAGTACTAGTTTTAGTCTAAAACTAGGATTACGTTTTGAGATATACTTTAAGGTTTTCTGAGGTTTTCTTTTGTAATGTGTTTGTGAGTTTTCCTTGATAATTTGAGTTAGTATTAGACTCATGTATTGATAAGCACATATCAAGGAGGTTGATTGGTTCTATTCAAGAGTATTCTTCTTCGTTGGATTTCAGAGATTCAAACGTGGAGTTTCAAATGAGTTTGACACTATGCGTAGTCGTTGATTCGACAAGTGAAGTTTTGGATTCAACTTCAGGTTAATTAATTCCGAGACGAAAGCTTAGTGAAAGATTTACAGAAGGTTTGAAGACAAATTGGAGTTGGTAATTTGTTAGTTATCTTTGTAATCTTTCTTTCTTTAGTAGTGGATTGATTAGTGGCATTTCACCCCTGGTTTTTTTATCACAATTGAAGGTGCTTCAATTGTGGTTTTTCCACGTAAAAATTGTTTATGTCAATTTATTGTTTATTTTGAAAACAACAATCTAAATCACTTTCGTAAGTGCTTGATGATTTAGATTGTGTGTTTTGAATGATTGGAAGTTGGAATATTTAAATCTTGATCTAATCATGAATCACTTAGGATTTTCAAAAACTATGCTAGAATGCTCTCTACAGGTTGATTTGGTGCAGCCGACTTCCTTGGTAGGCTATCCCAAGTTGCTTGGAGATATCTGTAGGTTGCTTTTGGGTGAATCCAAGGCTTGCATCCAAAATGGTGAGTTGTCAATCATCACATTGATTGATAAGTTCACTTGTAGGTGAGATTGGAAGTTCCAGCAATGTAGGCGGATTTCTCTATCTATTTTCTTGCTTGCTTGCGTCTTGGTGATGCCAAGTACCGAGATAGTTAGCCCTACTTTGGTAGATGTGGTTTGGATGAAGTTCATGTTGGTTGATCTGAGCAAAAATGTTACATTTTGAGGCTTCCTAGCTTATATTTTTAGTCTTTTAACTTATGATATTTGATACAAGAAAGTGTTTTTCTTCCTCTTCAGGTTAATATCACTTCAAAGATGAAAAGATCACAAAAAGAGGAAAAAAGAGTAAAAATCCACGACTGAGTAGATCCACTCAAGCGGAATTCACATTCTGCACGAGCAGATTTCCTTGAATCATGTTTCGCCTATGAGTTGATTCGCTCGATTGGCATATTTAAACTACACTAGAGAATTTGCCTCGTTTTGTATGCACGTGTTTTTGACTCAGGATTGACTGGAGGTGATAAAAAGAGGTTTTGCGCACTTGTTTTGGGATCCAAAACCCTAGAGACAACGGCTAGAAGCTAGAGAAGGAGAACAATCATCAATCCATGGTGTTCTCTTCAATATTCGAAGTATTCAATCTCTCCATGAGTGGCTAAGATGTCTTCTTAGGATTAAGATGAAACTCTAATAAAGTATCCTGTAATTTTGTATTTTAATTCTAGTTTTTCTTTGGTATTGGATAATCATTGTATGATCGTTTTTAGATCTTTTATTCAAACAATCTTTTCATTCAATTTATGTGATTGAGAATGCATAATCATATAACAGTTTTACTTTTTTGTATGTACAAACTGTGAGATGAGTCATGTTTTGGGGGGACAAGTAGTGCCGCAATCATAGTTAGTGTGGATGTGGACGATTCATGCCGATCGAAGATAATTTGTTCCTGCGTGTTGAATATACTCATCTTTGCGACAATGATATCATGGCTTGTAGCCACAATACATCATTATTATCTGAGCCATTGATTTACTAGAATTGAATATTTTAATTACATGATATGTGATTAGTGGTGGATTCGAAATCCTAAGGTAGCGTTTGGTTTACTTTTCAAAATTCAACTCTAGTTTTAAATCATGATTTGGATACAACATGTTAACCAAACATATTTTTAAAATACAACTCAAAATTAATTTCAAAACCCCTCTCTTCTTTTTTTAATTTATTTTATTATTATTAATCAATCAATCAAATACTTTTTGTCTCTTATCTCTCCTCTCTCCTTTCACATTCTCTCACATTCTATACATCAATCAATAAAAAAAAAATTGAAAAAAATTACAAATCATCCCAAAACTATTTTCAAAACTCATAACTAAGCAAATCTTTTCAGATCATGATTAAAAAACTTAAAACTCAAAACTCAAAACACAACTCCACGCTCAAATCATAATTCTAAAACTAAACCAAATGAACCCTAAGCCTCTCTCCATATTCAGACATCTCTCTTTATTAATTACTTTAGTTTTAATTAAATTCTCATTAGTAAAAATCAATCCTCATCTCTTCTTCAAATTAAATTAAAAATTACCAATTGAGTTCATACAATCATCTCAAGGTCCTCATGGTATGATACCTAAACAACCCATTGTTCTACTAAATTAGTGTTTTGCTTAGTTCTTTATTTTTTTATAGAAGAACAATCGATGAATTTTTGGACAATCCACTGTTCTGCTGAATTAGTGTTTTGTTTCGTTCTTTATTTTTGATTGAAAAACGACTGATCAATTTTTGGCGTCGTTGCTGGGGACTTTGGCATGGTTGTTTAATTCAATAGTGATTTTTATTTTTATTTATAATTTAGGATTTAATTCTTGGTTTACTATTCTCTCTTGTTGGTGTTTACTTGTGTAGGGTTTCGCTTGTCTACACGGATAGTGAACAACCCACAAGTGCTTAAAAATAAAAATAAAAAATTACAAAAAGTAATCTACTCTGCTAAATCAACAAGCTAATCTCGACTACTTGCGCACCCTTGTGTTAACCACCTGATAAGTAAAGCATTGTCGTTATAGATATGTGAGTTTTTCTAATAACTGTTTGTAATATATTGGCTACCACTGTAAGTTCTCTGGTGACAGTTTGTGTTTGGGCGTTGGTCTTGTCTTCCTTATTAGCTCCACTTGACCTTGAGATTGAGCACACACTTCAAACTCTCTAACAAACTTCCGAGTCTAATAGAATAATCGACCTTGCTTTACTCATGGATCCAATAGAGAATCATGCTCAGACCGTACAATTAAGTGAACACTTCACTTCCACAGCATATGCTTCACCATGTTGTATTAGGCCACCAATCATTACAGCAGCCCATAATGAAATCAAGCCTAGCACCATTCAAATGCTCCCATCTTTTCACGGCCTTGGTTATGATGACCTATACTGCCATTTAGATGAGTTTTTGGAGATCTGTTCCACTGTGAAACTCCAATAATTCACAGATAAGGCCCTAAGGTTAAGATTATTCCCTTTTTCACTCAAGGATATGACCAAACATTGGTTGAATTCTTTAGAGCCAAATTCCATCACGACTTAGGCCCAACTTCAACATAAATTTTCGGAGAAGTACTTTCCCATAGATAAAACTAATTAGATTAGGTGAACCATCACTAATTTTTCCTAGCTTAATGGTGAACAATTTCATGAGACTTGGGAACGATTTAAAGATTTACTTAGGCAATGTCCCTATCACTAAGTACCCAAGTAACAATTAGCCCAGACTTTCTATGATGTTTTAATTGATCGCAATTGCCAAACAATAGATGCCTCTTGTGGTGGGACATTCATGACTAAGAATGACGTGAAGCATGGACCTTAATTACAAATCTTTTTGAGAATTCTCTAATATGCATCTACCTTTAGATTCGAGAGACAACCCTCTTTTAGTACCCCAAAGCGAGGGGGGTGTCTATGAAGTTGGGCATGCTGTTGATGTCTCTGAACAAGTAGCCACCCTATCTTGTAAACTTCACCAACTTCTCTCAGTAGGGCAATTTTTTGCGCAACCCCCACAACCTCAATATCAGGAGGCGTGCCTTATTTGTTCTCACACCACTCATTATGTTACTGAATGTCCCATGGCTTCACAGTTCCTTGAGTTAGTTGAAGAACATGTTGTTGCGACTCAAGGATTTACCAAACCAGGTAATGATCAATATTCCAATACCTATAACTTGGGGTAGCGCAATCATCCTAATTTCTTTTGGCAACCACCACCTCAGGGCAATTCTTTTGCCCCACTACCACCACTACCTAGGCAGAATTTCAATAATTTTGCTAACCCACCTCCTTAACACCCACTTCCACAACAACCATCTTACTAACAACCACCTCCCTTACCTTCCCGATAGTCCGCTTTTGAGGAGAAGGTCCTGCAAGTTCTCCAATCACTTTAGGGGGTGCCTCAATTGGTTCACTCGCACTTACAGTCCATCTTCAAGCTTGAGACCCAACTTGGCCAATTAGATAATACACTTACACGGGAGGGAATGGTAAGTTACCTAGCCAAGCGATAACTAATCCTAAGGGCCAGTACGGGGTTGAGAGTTCCAATGTGAGTGGTCCATACCACAAGCAAGTTCAGGCTATGATAACTCTTAGAAATGGGCGAGAGATAGATACTCGCCTTGAGGTGACCAATGAAGTAAAGGAAAGCGTGGTAACCTGTGTTGAGAGTTAAGAGTGAGGATAGTCGCACAACAAAGAGGGATGATCCACCCTTCCCATATTTGAGTGAGTCACTAACACCATTTGTGCCTAAGTCTCTTTTCTTACAATGCTTAGCGTTGCCCTCACCTTTCGGGAAAAATGGGGCATCTACGGAGGCAATGATGGAAATCTTTAAGCAAGTCAAAATTAACCTCCATTTGTTGGAGGCCATCAAACAAGTGCCCTCATATGCTAAGTTTTTTAAGGACCGTTGCACCAAAAAATGCAAAGTCAAAACCCATGTATCTGAAAAGGTCCTTCTTATTGAGCAAGTCAGCTCCATCTTGTTACACAAGACACTGCCTAAAGCTTAAGGACCCTGGTGCCTCCACTATCTCTTGCACTATTGGTGATCATTTCATATATAAAGCCCTCATTAACTTAGGTTCTAGTGTGAGCCTTCTTCCATATTCTATTTATGAGGAGTTTGGGTTGGGGGAGTTAAAATCGATGACGGTCACTCTTCAGTTAGCCGATCGTTCCCTCAAGGTGCCACAAGGCATAATTGAGGATATCCTTGTCAATGTCGACAAATTCTATTTTTCTATCGATTTCCTTGTCCTTGACATGAAACTCCTAGTTACTCTAAAGAGGAAGATCCCTGTCATCCTTAGTCAACCTTTCTTGGCCACGACCAATGTAACCATTAATTATCAGACGGGGGTTAAGCAGGTGCTGTTTGGGAACATGCAAGTCAAGCTTAATATCTTTAGTGCTTCCTATCATCCTTTACATGGAGATAAGTGTTTCATGGTCGACATTGTCGATGAGTTAGTCAAGGGTGCCTTACTTTCCGTCCTTGTTGAAGATCCTCTAAAGACATGTCTTGCTCACTTTGGTTTTCAGGGCTTTGACATTGATCACTCAATTGAGGAGATCAATGCTTTATTTGACTCCGCTCCACCTTTCGATTACCCACCACATTGAATGGGATTCGAACCCTTTCCTACCCTTTCTAGCACACTGGCCCGTTCATCCATTGAAAAGCTACCCAAACTTGAGTTAAAACTGCTTCTGGCTATACTCAAGTGTAGCTCGCTTTTCGTGCTCCTTCTGGATGCGATAGACCTATAGTTCAGACTCCCATGGTTCTGAATCTGATTTCAGAAGTGCAATGTGAAATAGATAAACACAAATAAGTCCAAATCCGACAAATCTTTTGAAAAATTAATTTTGAATCAAAATGCCAAAAATGGACTATTTTGCTAGATATAGAGTCGCCACCTAAATATTTTTGGGAAATGTAAGAAACCCGAGACTCGTGACAAAGGCCACTTATTCATCATCACCAAAGTGTCTCGGCTCGAAACTTAGGTACAAGTGGGGAAGGTTATGAATTGAGCACCCCACTCACCTAATCAAAGATCGGCCTCTACTAATCATGATGTGATTCTTATTTACATTATATGCTCTTGTTTCGATAATTTAGGCTAGCATTACTATGTGATGCACACATGTATAGAGTAATTTGCAAAAATTGGAACACTTTGATTTCATGTTTGTTTGAAAATTGTTTGAATACATACTACTTGAAAAAGTGATCTCATATGTAAATTAAGCAAATTATCCCAATTTAAGCAATTAGCCTTCATCCACAGGCATTCAAATAGTTATATCAATTAAGCACTTAGCCTCATGGTATTCATGCTTGACGTGGCAACAATCACACGTATGCGATATGCTAAAGCAATAAATGCACACCTCGTACTCCAAGGCAAGCCAAAGGAAACAAAAGAGATAGAAAAAATGCAGGATCCTAACGATACAAGATGGCTAATGTAACACATGCAAAAATGCAGCTAGTAGGTATGGTTTCCTAATATGTCATGTGAATCACTTTAATAGCATGCGGTGAAGCACGTATTCAAGAAAGTAATAAATGACAATGGTGTAAGAATGATGAATCGAACATTATGTATGCGAGACAAATGGATGCAAATTATGAAAAATGCTAAAAGAAACATGATGTTTTATATTATCCATCATAAGCAAGTAAATAAAATGGAGAAAGAAATGGGGATAAGACATACACATTATTACATTTTGCTCTCACATAAGAGGGTCCGAATAAATGTATTAGCTAATTACTATGAATTAACTAACTATTACAAACCAAGTGAAAAAAATTAACTACACTAACTAATTATTACAAATTAGAATTGAGCTAACTAATTAATTACAACACAAAATTAATTAACTAAGGTATTACAAGTTCAGAGGAATTACAACATACTACTATTAAACATAAATTAACGAGCCACAAGGAATAAAGAATTGTTCATGCATGAATGTGGATTTTTCACTCGAAAATGCCATCTGTTTGGCTGCCAAAGTGCTTTTGTTTTGTAGTAAAAAAATTGCACTGTTTTCACTCCATCCTCTGCTCTGTTCTATAGGAAAAATGGACACTGCCTGGCTGAAAAAGGTGGCTAGTTGGCCAGAAGTGGTGGACGGCTGTACAAAAAAAGTGGCCGGCCGGCCACTAATTTGTGGTATTGCCTTGCTGCAACAGATAACAAGCCGAGCACAAACAGAGCATTTTTAGGGAATGTCTGTCCACCCTGTCTCTTCTTATCACCAAATAGCTCAAATAAGGGGTAGGCTTGATTCGCAAGCCATCAACCGACGAAAATTCATTACGTGATGACTTATGAACCAAGGGATACAATCTCAATAAATGCACAATGAAAGACCCACGAACCTCCTCTCTATCATGATATTGATCAAGGGAAATGGTTGACATTGACTCTTGAACCATTTTCATCACTAACAAGTACGAAATGACTCAAGACTCAGTGGGTTCAATTAACGTCCGATTGAACCCAAAACATTTTATTATCTTGCTCCATTTTATTTCAATTTTAATACCTCTTTTAATTACCTTTCCATTCCTTAAGCCTTTTAGTCCAATAATGAAGATTAAGTCCACTAATGGAAATAAGTGTCAAACAAAGGGTTGTTTTGGGCATGAGGGAGATGTCATGCCGTTGGTAATGAACCTCCAAAGAGGTTAAACCATTAAGCACAACAATCTCTATCTCAAGTTTAAACAAACAATCAGTTTGAAACGACTCTCAAAGCAAAGAAGAAGCTAAGAAATGAGAGAAGTATAGAGATGATTAGAGATGAACACAAGTATGGAAAGCTTGAAATAAATGCTATCAACTCAAATAGGTTGGTGTCTAATGCCTAAAACACCAAACCTATGGAGGACCGTTACATTACAGGCATGCAATACAAAGCATAAATGACATGAACAACTTAAAACAGTCCTAAAATAGGCTAAAACAACACTGAAATTAAGGTAAAAACATTTACAAAAGCAAGCTAAAATAATGGAGCAATTAAGCCAGTAAACAAACCAAAGGAGGGGAGGCTAACCCCTCCATTTTTGGGACTTCAAAACCACATTTTAGCCTCTAAAAAAACCTCTAAAAATCAGTGGTAAAAAGCTCAGAAAAAGATAATGAAAATGTGGGAAACACAATGGTAAAAAAGCCTAGAAGACAAGGTTCAAAGAGGGGTGGTCCACTCCTCTACCCTTAATGGCTTTACACCACAAGTTTCAGCCCACAAATACAGGTGAAAAATGGCCTCAAAATAGTAAGAAAAGATAGTGAATAAATAGAGGAAAGAAGATAGGAATTATACCTCTTGAAGAGGAGTAACCCTTTTGAATTATAAACCGCCAATTCCACACCCTCAAGAGCTAAAATGCAAGCTCAATGACCTCAGCAAAGGACCCTCAAAGTTTGGTTTAGAGTGTCTAGGCAAAGGGCATAGAAGTTGCAAGAGAGAGAGAGAGAGAGAGAGAGAGAGAGAGAGAGAAATGTAGAGAGAGAAATATTTTCCAAGACTTTGCTCCACAAATTTTTCTAACCTAATTTTTGAGAGAGAGTCATCTATATATAGAAATATATGAGACTATCTCGAAAATATCAAAACAAACATAGCTGGTGCAGTGCGTGCATCTGTGGAGACAACTGGCA